CGCCCGCCCGGGCCCGGGCCGGGGGGTCGCGTGGGTATCACAGGAGCCTCCTCCGGGGCTCCCATCGCCGCCCTCACGCCCCCAGCCGGCCTGCGGAATGGGCCCGACGTCATCCCAAGCCCCCCCTTCGGTCTCCAGGATGTGGAAGGGCTGCTGACCTCAGGCTAGGCCTGGCCCTCTCAGGGCCTCAGTTTCCCCAGGCAGCATGGGATAGACCCTGATACCGTGGATCTGCGGACGACGCGGTGGCAGACCTGAAGTACACTTGCTTCCCCAGGCTAGCCCCCGGGTTCTCTGAGACTCCGATTCCCCGGATGCAGAGGAGCCCCCCCCCCCGCCCCCCCATCCCCTCCAGGGCTCTGGTGGCAGCTCCCAGGCCCGGCATTTGATTACCCAGTCTCTCTGCCTCTTCCTCCACCGGACACGCTTTGCATTGTGCCTACTTATTTGGCATCCCCCACTGGCACCTAAGCTCCAAGAGGGCAGGGGTTACTGCGGTTAATCCCCAGTGTCCCCTGTGTCCTAGCACCGGCGCATCCTGGCGTGCAGTGGGTGCTCCATACAAATTTGCAGAGCCAGTGATGCGTTTCTTATGGCCCTCAACTCACCCACACCCAGGGGTTTGGAGGTAGATGGGGAGGAGTGAGTATTAAACCCACGCCATCGGCCAAGGGCTTTCCTCAGTCACCCCAGCGTGCTCTTGGGAACCCCAGGGGGTTGGTGTTGCCAGTGCCTACACTTCGATGAAGGAACTGAGCTGAGGACAGGAAAGGTTACTTACTAGCTGATGGTGGCGAGCTAGACGCCTGCCTTTAGACACTTTCCTCTCTAGTCCCTGTGACTCCACAGCCAGCTCAGTTGAAACCAGAGCAAAAGGACAAGTGGTGCAGACAGGGGACAGGCAAGAGGGGCGCCGGGCCTGGGGGCACAGCCCTGGTCTGCGCGTGTCAGGGGAGCCTGATTTGGCCCGCAGTGCCGCGGGAGAAGGCTCAGGTGACAAAGGTGAGCATAACCTAGGATGGAGCTGTACTGGCGGGGCTCACTGAGAAGAGCCCAGCGCTGAAGCCCATGTAAAGCCAGCCTCACTGCCGTCTGGCAGGCATTGTGGAGGGAGCTGGGGAGACCTCACAACTGTGCTGTTCAGAAATCCCTAGGAACTCTGAGATCTCAGCCTTTGGAAATCCCATCCCAAATCTTTTGGAATTTGGACCCGTGAGCACCCGGATAGATAGCTGATAGATAGATAGATAGATAGATAGATAGATAGATAGATAGGAGAGGAGAGGAAAGGCTAGCGGGACCAGCAGGATGGTACCTGGTTTTAGTTGAGGTAGCACAGTTTGGAAGTAAAGAGCTGGGACTCTAGGTTGTTTGAATCCCACCGCTACCATTTATATGCTGTGTTACATTAGCATAACTTGACCTCTCTGAGCCTGTTTCCCAACTGTAATATGGATATAGTGTGTGACCCTGGCACCCTCTGGGTTTGACAGAGGTGGCTGGGATGATACTACAAAGGGAGGGACACAGATATGGGAATAAAGTTACCTTGCGGAAAGGCTGAGCAGACCCCAGGGGACAGACTGGTTCTGAGGAGCTCCCAGAGGGACACAGGGTTGGAGCGCAGTTGTAAGAGCCAGATGTCAGTTGGTGCATACAAGGACTTTGGGACAGCAGAAGTCAGCCACAGCCTGCAGGGGTATTGTAATAGGTAGTGAGCACCCTGTCCTGGAAGGTGAGCAAAGCTCAGAGAGCTATCTAGCAGGGACACCATAAGGATGGCCTCCATGCGCAAGGCAGGTAGTGAGCATGGCCCTTCTTCAAAAGTCGCTGGCTGCTCGCAGACTTGGGAAGCAACAGGCCTACTTCCCCGACGCCCAGGGGGCTGAGCAGGGGGTGGAGAATCTTTGGCCAGGCCAGGAGCGCCACCTGCTGCTAGTCAGAGACACTGGTTGCAGGCAGAACCGCCAGGTCTGGACCTGGAGGGTCTCATCCCGCGCCTCACCTGCTCCGGGTCTCCCTGGGCTTCGAGGATGCGTCCGCTCCCTATGCTCAAGCACTCGGTGCGCCTGCGCGGTCACCCTCTGTGCCTTCCTGCAGTGGAGCCCGCGGCAGCCTGCTCCAGGCTCCCTCGCCCTGCCGCGGCCACGCGCACGTTTGACGCTGCCCTCCCTCCGCACAGCCCTCCCAGCGCTCTCCGCCCTCAGGACTCAGGACGCACCTTCTCCTGCAGACGGCCGTCTGGACGCCTTTGGGGTGCCCCCACGCCCCCATCATGTCTTCAGTCTGGCTTGCCCTCCGTATCCTCAGGGTCCACATCGGGATCCCCAGTGGACAAAACCTGAAGCGCTCAAAAGTTAGGAGAGGAATCCACATCTCCACAGGTAAGAAGCGAGAACCAAGATCTTGACCCTGGTACCCCTCCCAAGGGTGTATTCTTTCTATAAACTAGTGTGTTTTGTTGAGCCGTATCCGCACATGCAAATAACATGCTTGGATCATTTTCACCCCCACTATCCTCATTTCCCTCCCACAACCTCCCTCTTCTTAATAGTCTTCCTTCTACTTTCATATTATCTCTTTTAAAGGTTACACCATAATGCAAGGACTAGAGGTATTCTGGGAAGTGTTTGATGACTGACTTAAAGAGTCACTGTGGGACCCACACACCAACCTGAGGACATCCTGAGATGCAGTCTGGCACCCACATAACCACCATCTCACACCTAGCAGCTGTGGCTTCCTGCGCCCACCCTAGAATGACCTTCGTCCTCTGCCCTTGGCCAGGCCTCCTGGCTTTAACAAGACAACAGAGGGCTCACTGAAGCCTCTGGGCACCTCAGGGAGGCCTGTGACACCGCATTCAGGGTTTCGCCCCTGCCAGCACAGAAGAGTGGGTGCTCAGCACCTGTCACCTGACTCCATCTGTCCCCAGACAGTTGGCTAAACCGACCGGTTCTTCAGAGCCCAGCATTCCCTCTGTACCAGGGGCAACAGTTGCTTCTACCGCGGGCCTGGGACTCGGGGGAGCAACAAACAGCTGGCCCCAGCATTGCTTCGGTGAAGACCGATGAGCCAGTGCTTCCAGGAGAGCCTGGTGCGCAGGCAGCGCTGTGTGCGCCTCTCGCTGCCTTGTCCCCGTTTCACAGTCGGGGAGTCTAAGGCCCAGTGAAGTCCAGTAACTTGCCCTGACCACACACCAGCCAAGACATGGGCCAGGCAGCATGACAGAACTCTGGCTTCCCCAAGGCACAGGAGGGCTTTGTGATGCTAACAGAGCCCCCAAACGCAAGCCCCTTCTCAGCCCAAGGCAACCGCAGGTCCCTGCTTCCCCTCGCCCAACCCCCAACCCCACATCCTCCCACCACAGCTTTCTTCCTCTGTCACCTGGAGTCAGGATGGGAGCCGGAGTCTAGGCTCACTTCTGGGAGCAGTCAGGAGGGAGCAGCCCTGAGAGGGCAGAGACACCCAAAACTCAGGAATCGAAACGGGGTCCTGGCAGGAGGGCTCCAGCTCTGAAGGATCCAGAAATCCAGTTGGGGGAATGTGGGGAGACTCCAAGGCCACCCGGTGCCCGCGTGAGTGGACATGTAGCCCAGGCAGCAGTTGCTGGGAGGATCTGCAGAGCTGCGCAGGGGTCTGGGGAGGAGCAGGAAGGTGCGCGCTCCTCTGCACGGGTGGGGGAGCTCTCGGCCCAGCCAAGGCAGCCGGTCAGTGTGAGAGTCTCACAGAGCTGTGCTGGACCTCGGTGCTAGGCAGGGCAAGGCAAGGGGCTGGTGGCACCCCCAGGGCACGCGGCCACAAGGCATGGGGCCAGGATTGGAACTTGGGCCTCTCCTAGTGACATGCTGTGGACCCCAAACATGACTCAAGGCCTCAGGGGCAGTGGGGGTAAGAGAGGCAAAAGCGAGGGGGATTTGAGCTGATGGACTCTGAGCCACTGGGCAAGGCCTGGCTGTCCCCGTAGGAGGGGCCGATGTGGCCAGGGGACAGGGGCTGTGGCTGTAGACGCTCCCATCTCCAGGCCAGGTCTGGCCAGAGTCCCAAGAAAGGGTCCGCTTGAGGAGAAGGGGTGCTCTGGAACTTCAGGTTGGATGGCCAGAGAGCTGGGTGGGACCTGGCTGTGTGGAGCCTGAAGCTGACACCATGAGGGAACCACAGATGCAACCTCCAGGATGAGGTGAGGCCCCTGCTGCCTCAGCCACCCTCCTTTACAGTGCTGCTGCCCCCGAGCGGAAGTCTAAGGCCGGCACGGCGGGAGGAGGCGTAGGCAGGGAGAAGAATCTGGGAAGGCCTCCTTGTGGTGGGGACATCTCCACCGGCCTGTGACAGGCAGGCCTTGGGGAAGCAGGTGCTCTGGCTCTGAAGTGGCCCCCACCCAGCCTGAGGCCCGTCCTGACATGGTGTGTGGGGACAGGCGAGGCTGAGCCCATTCTGGGAGCTGCTTCTCTGCAACCTCCTGGGGCACAGCCTTGTCTTGCTCCCCACCCACTCGCTTCACCTTCCTGTCCCACAGATGAGGAGCAAGGCCCAAAAAGGCGAAGGCTGGCCCGAGGCCACACAGTCTGCCTGCAGCAGAACCAGGGCTAGAACCAGGGGACTTCACTTTCTCCCACCCGTCTATCCCGGCGGCTGCCCTGTGCTTTGCAGACATTCTCGGGGTCGGACTCCTCCAGTCTAGACTCTCGCTAACTGGTCCAAGGTCACAGGACCAGGGAAGCTGTGAGAACCTGGGCCAGGAGCAGCCGGTATGGGCAGGGACAGGAGTGGGAGGAGGAATCGGGTGCTGCCCCAGCCGCAGAACCCTAACACACCCTCAATCCTGGGAAGAAACTGTGCATTTTGGAGTCATTTTCCTGGAAGAAGAAGAAAAAAAACTCCCTAAAAATACGTCTTCCTTCTCACATCTTGGGGCTAAAGCAGCCCAGCTGCCAAGCTGAAGGGCAGGATGCCCCCCTGCCACCCCCAGGCTGAGGCTTCCGGCCCCTCGGTCACTCCCTCCAAGCACAGCTGTCACTGAGCTGTTTAACACGTCTTGGGTGGGGGTTTCTTCTGCCTTTTCAAGGTTCTGGGAGCTTGGTGCTCAAGCCTTTCAGCTCTCAAGCCGCGCTCTAGGCCTACTGCGGATCCGGCCCTGCAGAGCTGGGAGCTGGTGCGCAAGAGCCAGAGGCAGGCGGTGAATAGGAAGCCACATACCAGAAGGACCAGCCCCTGCTCTGCCCCTTGTCCCACCTCTCTGTCTGAGTGGGCACTCCGTCACCCTGGTGAGGGCAGGGCAGGGGACTTGGCAGCACCTCGGAGGGGAGGCCAGGAGTGGAGTCCTAGGTCTGCAGCTTCGCAGGGCCTCCCTGGCAAGCTTGTCAGTGATGGACCTCTTGGCTAGAGGGAGGCAAACCAGGGGGCCCAGGAGAGTGCCCGGCACAGGGCAAGCCCCATAGCCACCGCCGGCTGGCCACTATTTTTAAGTCATTCTTTGCCTGGGACTCAGAGACAGAGGCTGAGGCACCCCTGGGGCTGGGGCTGTGGGAGGGGTGCTGGGGAGTGTCCTGGAGTCCAGGCCAGGGCAGCTAGGGCAGGTCAGGCTCACCCAGGCCCCAGACGGAGAGCAGGGCTGGCCCCAGACCAGAACACCATGCACTGTGGGCCTCCCCGGCTGCAGGGACAGTCCTGCCACACCCGCCTCGCACTGTGTTAGTTGTATCTTGCTGCATGACAAGTTACCCAAACCCAGAGCTTCACCAATGGCATGTTTTTGCCATCTGGTAGATTCTGTGGGTCAGGAAGGTGGGAGCAGCCTGTGGGTGAGGACCTTTCCGAGGCTCTAGGTATCTGAAGGCTCTGCTTCCAGGGTGGCAGTTGTCACCGGTATGTTAACCTTAGTGCCAGCAGGATTCGGTGCCTCCCTATGCCTGCTTTGCCATTGGGCTGCTTCTCTGTCTCCAAGACATGGCGACTGGCTTCCCCTTAGAGGAGGCAGAGGTTGCAGTGGTACAAGACCTAGCCTGAGAAGCCGCATGCCACACTTCCACGGTATCTTATTGTTTCCATGTAGGCAGGGACTCCACAGGGTGAGGACACCAGCACACAGCGTCCTCCTCCGCGGAGCTGCACTTGGCGTCCCAGCTTGGAGAATACACTAGTCCTCCTGGAACAAACAACAAGGGACGTCAGAGGCAGGACGACACTAGTAATGTGAACCCCAACCCCTCTTTGTGGCTGTGGGCCCAGGCCTCTAACAAGGACTTCAACATGACCTGTGCTGTAGAAGTATTGTTACCGCATTTTAGCTGGGAAAAAAAAGAGGAGGAAGAAAACATGTGATTTACAACAGCCACAGAGGGTGAGGTGGAGCTGGGATTTGAAGCTGTTGGCCACAGGAAGACCTGGAGGTTTGGGCTGAGAGCTTGGTGCCTAAGCCAGGGATGTGGTCCCAGGAGGAGGACCTGGTCCTGGGCTACACTTAAAGAGGATTGAGGCTGGTCTCCTGCGCTGCACCGTACCAGCCCTGCAAGAGCAGCAGACCTGGCTTAAGTTACTACTCCAAGGCACGGTTGGGAACTGAGCCCTAGAGAAGTCAGAGGTTTGCCAGAGGTCACAGAGCAAGTCCATGAAGAAGCTTGGGCCTATGCCTGACCACATCCTCCTACCCCTAGCCAGGACAAGCGCCTAGCAGCCCTGTATGCTGGGGACACTTCAGGGCAGGAAGGAGTGAAGAAAAGGGAAAGCAGTTTCAGGGCACATGCCAGAGGCCTGCTCTCTGGCGGGGTGGCGGGGGGGACTCCTGACTGCTCCTGAGCCCCTCAAGCCAGGGGCAAGCACCCCAGCCCTGACATTGGACCACTGTGTCCTGGGGCCTCCACAACATTTGCTCTAGGCGGCAGCACCCTCGTGTGGCTACAGCCCGTAAGTACATGAAATCACAGCTTTCCTCCCTGAAAATGCTTCACTCGCCTGGGCCCTACTTAACCCTTCTGCAACCCCCACAAAAGATAAAGCAACCATTGCTGGGGCTGATGGGAGGTACCAAGAGCAAGATGGCATGGACAGAGTACTGGACTGGGGTTCAGGAGACCTCAGAAAAAATCCTCACTTGGTTATGGCTCACATGAAGCTTGGGTCTCGAACTTCTCATCTGTACAATGGGTTGAAATATCTACCTCATTTCCTAGGGCTTTCAATGAGGACCAAAGGAATCACCATGGTGAACATTGCTCTGCAAACTGCGAAGACTGTGACCAGGTAACTGCATGAGGGATAACTGCATGAGGGATGCCCCAGCAGGATGCTGGAAGAGACCAGGAGTCTAGGTACCCAGTCAAGCATCCTTGGAGCAGGCCAGGTAGCAGCAGCAAGCAGTGGTAGCCTAATGCAGAGCCCAGAACACAGCCTGCTCAGTGGAACCTGGACCTGAAGCAGGAAGGGGGTTCATGTGAAGAGCTGAGGGGGAAGCCACAGGCCCAGAGCTGACCCAGACTTGCACCAGAGCCCAAAATCTCGGTTCCAGATCTCTAACAGGGAGAATCACCTTCCTTGCAGGAAGGGCTGCTACAAGAACAGTTGGGAGCCCACCTGGAAACTGTCTGGGCAGCATAGGCTTGCAGTTAATGACATCAGATTTGCTTCCATAAAAACCAAGGATTGCTTTCTTCACCAAAACTTGTGAACAACTGTTGGACAGGTTACAGGAAGGGAAAAGCAAAGCATTTTCATTTTGTACCAAGACCGCATCTTGTTTCCCCTGGTTGGCAAACTTACTGAAATAAAGCTCCCCACCCCCCGCCAAAAAAAGTGGTACACCTCTACTCTCAGCTACTCAGAAGGCTAAGGCAGGAGGACTTAAGCCCTGTCTGGCAAACTGAACAACTTACACCCCATCTCTAAAAGGAGGTAAACTAAAAAGAGGTGGGCATGGTGGCATATGCCTGTAATCCCAGCACTTGAGAGGCTGAGGCAGGAGGATTGACACAAATTCAAGGCCAGCATGGGTTATATACTGAGCTGAAGGACAGCTTGAACTACCTAGCAAGACCTTGTCTCAAAAAAAAAGCAGGGGGGATGAGGATGGAACTTGATGGAAGGTCTTGGCAGGGTTTCAATCTCCAGTGCAAAAGGAGGGGGTGTTACTTGGCATATGGGGGTGTTGTGTGCTGGGCACTATTCAAACTTACATAATTTAACCCTCACAACCAGTCTTGCACATAGGTATTAATATTTCCCTTTTTTTTTTTTGGTACTAGGAGTTGAACTCGGGACCTTGCACTTGCCAGGCAGGTGCTTGTGCCACTGAGCTCTATCCCTGGCCCAGTATTTCCCATTTTAAGGTAACTGAGTTTCAGGAGTACCCAGGTGAAAAACAGCAGTTGGGATTAAGTCAAATTTAATCCTCAGAAGCCTCCCAGAAGCCTCAAAGAGGGTGGCAGTAATCACACTTCTAACCTAGGTCTCTGCTTTATTACCACTAAATTAAAACAAAACAAATACTGATAGAGACTAAGGAAGAAAAACCTGAGAGCACAGCATGAACAGGCAGGAAGAGAGAAGCCACCAGGCCAGCACCTCCTACGTGCTGGCCCTGGACACCTGCTTACCAATTGCTGTTTCACCAAAGCTCATAGGCACTGGCCCACCTCGCACACGGAAGGGCTCACGCACCTGCACCTCACTCTCTCCGGGTCCTGACAGCAGGCGGATGTAAGAAAACAAACCCGCTGGGCAGGCTCTCCTCAAGCTGCCTGAGCACAATCCGGTCCTGAACTGAAAACCTGTACACCCCAGCCACCTCTCCTCCAGGTGGCCTCCCACCTGGCCCTGCTGGTCCAGCCCATGAACACCAACCCAACTTTCAGTGACAGCTTTTGCCAAAGCTGTTTCTGGAGCAAAGGTGGTGAAGGAAAGATGTGGCATGAAAGTGACAGGCACTTGGTGAGCCGGAGCCTCCTGCACTACAAGCAGGGAGAGGTCACCCATCATGGTAATACGGGTCAGCTAGGATCCCGGGACATCACAGGCCGGCCTGAAGGGCAGGATGGCTGCACAATGCAGGCAGCAGCAGCTCACACACAGGAAAGGAGTGGGCAGGGCAGCGGCCCAGGCAGGCACTGCAGCAGTCCAGACACCTGGCCCACTGCCTGGTCTTTGGAGACATCTGCAACTCAGACAGTTCCAGTTAAACCACAGGGCTTGCTCACACACGCCAGAGGCCAGCACAAAAGAGCAAAGGAAGAAGAGCATTCTTGAAGGGTGGGTCAGAACACAAGACGCAGGCCTGAAGACAGACTCTGCCCAAAGACTCGAGTGCTGTTTCCAACAGAAGCTGGAAATCTAGGTTTTCATGTAAATGATCTTGATTGTGAAAGCAGGGACAGGCTGAACCCAACATCTTTGGGTCCAACTGGGCTTAAGAGCCATCAGTTTAGCTGGGCATGGTGGCACATGCACATAATCCCAGCACTTGGGAGGCTGAGAGGCAGGAGGATCGCCGTGAGTTCAAGGCCAGCCTGAACTACAGAGCAAGACCCTGTGTCAAAAAACAAAACAAAAAAGAGCCATCTGCTTGACACTCCTGCTCAACTCTGCCCTCTGATCTCCCTCATAAAACAAGCAGATAAAAAGGCACAAATTCAGATTCCAAAGTTCTGTATTTTTCAAAATAAAGATCACACATTGTTTAGAGACAATCTACACAAGAGTTACAAAAAATAGTTGCCCAGGCATAAGCATACACAGGTTTGTTAATTATACACATATGGTTACAAGTGTGCTTGCAAAAAAGTTCATTGGAAATATACACAAGGCTCTGGAAATGTACACCGTGTAGTGTTACAATTCTATATTCAAACAAGGAAAATTGACAGTATGTTACATTCACTTACAAGTAGACAAAATGCAAAATACAGTTCATCTTCTGTACAAAAAGGGCAATTCACACTTTACAAGGTGAGCGGGGCTCTGATTGTGAGGAAAGCTGGGGCAGGGCTGAACTTTTACACGTCCTTTTGACTGTCACAAAATAAGCAAAACATTACTTTTTAGGGTTAAAAGAAAAAAACACTAGTGTAACTGAATCATCCAGGTAACATTTAGAAAGGATCTCACTACTTTCTGACTAGCTGACAAATAAAACCAAGCTATTCTTTTCTTTTTAAACATTAACTAGGCTGTATAAAGAACATTTATTCCTTCAAAAGAAAAAAATTTACTTCTGGTTGAAATTACAATTTACAATATACAACACTATAGGCTACGACCATAAAAGGTGAGAATATACACTGAATGCACAGGGCTGGCTAATTCTCTTTTCTTACCAAAAAACGTGTTTATGTTGATTCAAACTTCTCCACATTTACATTACAGGTATACAAATGTACAATTGTACAATCAAAAGTATGTTCGACTACTAGGGTACATTATAGATACAGATTAGACATCAAAACAAGAAAATACTACAAATTTGTATATATGCAAAGTCTACACCAAGTATACACTATATATTTATAGAAGCAAGACCAAAAGCAGAGTTGGATTTTTTTTTCTCATGCTAAATAATCAGATTTTGCCTTTCAATGTTAACAGAAAAAAAATCCAGTAGGCAGTAAACAGTCACACACCCGGCCCTGCCAGACCTCTGGGTGCTCGCACCTCCTCGAAAAACGGACCGCACCATCTTCTTCAGTACACTCGAGTCTCCAAAAGGAGTTTTCAAAAGTTTCAGAAACATAATGTCATAAGCTGAAGTTTTAGCAACTCTGGAACTTTTTCATTTTATATATATATCTATATATATATATATACTTTTATAAACAGTGTTAAATGCCAGTTTGGGGTCATTTAACTAAAATTCAAACTTCCCAGGTTTTTTTTGTTTGTTTGTTTGTTTTTGTTTTTTACTAAAATGAGGAAGGGGGAAGGGCTATTTGCAAAACTTGCCAATGAGGCAAATGAGTTAAAAACCTTTTTTTCTTTTTTTTTTAAAAAACTTTTTTGTTAAACCAACCACCCTGAAAGTTTCCATACATGGAATATAGATACAACATTGAACAAAATATGTGGCCTCCCATGTACATTGGTTACCTATGTACAAGTATCCTATACACCAGTAAAACAGCAGGGCAATTAGTCAATTAAAAAAAATAATTAGTACATGTTATGTGTAATAAAATTAAATTTACAAAGGCTTTTCCACTGGTTGATTTGATTCCTTTTAGGAGGAGGGAGCAATCCCAGAGCAACCATTGCCCATTTCAGGTTCTACACTAGGACGTTTCAGGTTGCTGGTTGACCTGCCAGGGGCCAGTGAGGTCAGTGGGAACGGGGATGGGGTGCGCTGCTCAGATGATGCCATTAGGAGGGCCGCAGATAGGCCCCAAATCGACTCCATTCTTCATGTAGTATTTCTCCAGCTTGGCCAGGATGTGCTTGCCATAGGTGTACTTGCGAAGAGTAGCGATGTGGGGCCGGATCTGGGAAGGAAAGACAAACTGGGTTATGCTGGCCTCCGCTCTGGCACACACCTGCAGATCAACTGTGTGCACGCACATGTGTGCCCTCACGGCGATACCTTCCACTGGTTCAGCAAGTCTCCTGAGCTGCAGTTTTCCTGACCTGTCAGAGGAGGAAAACAGCTCTTCCCCTGAGCACTGACACAGGATGCAAGGGCTCAGAGGCTGGTGATGGGCCACTCTCAGGACAGCACACAGATACCTCACTGGTCAGCTGCATATGCCACCCTAAAAGGACGTGCACTGAGCCTCTGGCTTCACGCACTGTATCCAGGGCTCTCCTAGGTAATGGGGGTTTTCTGGGAACCATGAACTGTGGGTTCACCACCTGACCCCACCCTCCATCTCACAGGAGATCACAGAAAGCTAACAGTCACAACAGAAATGATAATTATTACAAGCCGGTGACTACCCCCATTTTATCTGGGAAAAAAAAAAATGAAGGAAGACTGACCAGGACAATATCTGGAATGTGGAAGCAGTGTTGTCACAGTTCTGCCCTATTGAACTTGCTGAACTTCTTCAAAAACAGCCTTTTCTCCAGCCTCCAAGTCTGTGCATATCAAACTCTCTCTTCCTGGACAGGTTATTTAAAGACCCCTCCCCTGAGGAGCCTTTTCTGTACCCACACATTACAAGAGACACCCTGCCCCAACCATATATTCTTACATGACCCACCTACAACTCCACTGTTCCCTGGAATTATGGTACCAATCTGTGTGCCATGTGGTATTCACCAATATAACCCCGCTGAGAAAAGGGCCTGCTGTAGAGTGCACACTTGGTGTTTAATGAATGAATGACAGGACATGTTTTTAGTTTTAAATTCTACATATCTCCAACTTTGCCTCTGCCTTCACCAGCATCTTCACACACACACTATGAAACTCAGCCTGAAGGGCTCTGGACTCCCCCAGCTGCCATCTCTGCCAGCGCCTACACCAGAGGCCGGTGGTTTGCACGGCTGGGTTGCATTTGAACTGGAGGTGGTGCGCATCTCGCCTGGCTCAGAACCTGAGTCCATAACGGAGATTCTCATTATCGAACTGTGTTCTCAGTGAGGGCAAGTGGGTCATCACTGCCAGACAATGGCGACCCCTCCACTGAGAAGGGCTGAGGGAGCTCAGAGCCCCAGACTGAGGGCTGAGGTCAGAAGCACCCGAGGCTCAAGGCTGTCCGTGTAGTGAAGGGTGGACCCGCTCTGTGAGTAGTCCTGAAGCCCAACGCCTCTTCAGGGGATTTCTCCATCAGCTCTCCACTTGCAGCACCTAGTAGTTCAGA